TGTGTCTGAAGCGCGACTCTGTTCCCCTTTTGTCTTTAGTCTTTACATTTATTTTGAAAGATGAAGCTTGCAATTATGGTAAGGGGCGTTACATTTCCGCTTGCGGTGTGCGGTGTTCGGCCAATCACAATTCACTGGGTCAGCTGGCCAATCAGAGCAGACTGCGCTTGTCGGAAGGAGGGACTTTGTAGAAAACCAGAATCAATTATTCCCTTGCGAAAAATAAGTTTATTGAAGTGTGCTGTTAGTATACTTCTTTTAAACTTAAAATAGGAAAGTATACTTTTAGTATACTTTTTATGTATAACTCAGAAATGGGCTTTATGTACTTCTCAGAAATATACTTAAAATGACATTTAAGTATACTTGACTTATACTTAGAAAAAGTCTAAATATATTTGAACTATAGCTACTTGTGCTCCGGGAATCTATGTTTTCATTGTTGTACGGTAGGGGGCGCTATTACACATCTTCTGTACAGAAACAAGCCAAGAAGAAACCGAAACAACAGATGCTTCCACGTGTAATCTAAAACGATCATCAGAAATAAAACATCATCAAAACTGTGTAACGTTATGGAATAAAATGTCGACCCATGAAGAGGTAATGACTGTCAAGCTTTGGGGTGTTGGAATTCATTCTGAATCCAATTCATAGTCTTTTTTCAGCTTTTTGTTCAAAATGTTTTTTTTTTTTTTGTTTGACGTTTGTATGTTCAGATAGCCTATTCATATAACAAAATATATACAAATTAATACCTAAATAGGGACATAGTAGTATACTTAAAGTATGATCTAAAGTTCAATTAAAGAAAACTTACAAGTATACTTGCAGAATAAAACTACTAAACTAGTAGTTTACTGAGACTATACTTCAGTGTACTAAAAATGCTACAAGTATTTAATTAGTAAATTGTTAGCATACCTACAAGTTCACTTTTAGTATAGTTGCAGTACAAACTTAAAAACATAGATGTAAACTAGTTGTGTACTAAAAGTTTACTACTGTTATCCTTAAAGTATACTTAAAAGTATACATTTATATACTAGAAAGTGGGCCAATTTAGTCCCAAAGAGTATTGAAATAGTACACTTACAAGTATACTACTAGTACACTGATATTTGTATACTTGCTACATAAAGTATACTTAAAAATATACTTGAACTTTACTTAAGTATGCTTAATAAAATTAACTTGAAGTATACTTCTTTTTGGTAAGGGGCCTCAAGGTGCTGTTTTATGCAGACCATCCGCATGGACACAAAAATTGGGCTGCACATGGACGGTGTGGGTGGAAGTCTGTGGAAATTTCTGATGTGGAAAATTGCATCAGGCGGACCTTCGTGGAACGTGGACGGCCGAAGTACACTCTGGGCTTTGAGTTTTGATTGATGTTCAGCATGTTGCTGTTTTGATTGATTTTTGCGGTGGTTGCTTTGATTGATTGGTTATTTTGATTGATTTTTAGTACATTTCTGTTTTTGGCTCCAAAACAGAAAGTGAATCATAACACATTTTTTGTAAGTACTCAGTAAAGATGTGCATGCCAAGAGCTCCACTTTGACAACACACACCCAACAACAGCGTCCAAACACACACCCCAGTAAATGCTCAAGGTCTAAGCAGAACTTACAGACCACTGTGGACTTTGATGGAGCCGGTGCTCTGAGGACGGCTAAAACTGCCCACTTCCTCTGTGTCATCCACATACTCAGAGCTTCTGCCTCTGCCAGCAGGCTCGGTGAACAGCTCTATCCGGGGCGGAGTGTAGTCCTGCAGACACATACAGGAAAACACAGCGGTCACTCCCATCTCTTCTGACCTTCAGAATGCAGTTATTGTGTTCAAAACAATCCTTTCAAGAAGGTCACTTACTCTGACAGCCAATCGAATTGAGCCAATGACCACAGGGGCAGATATTTCTTCACCCTCTTCTGCCCATTGATTGGGCAGTTCAGTAACTCCTTCCTCTTCCAGAGCGATGCATCGTCCCTCAAATCCCGGTTTCTCATATAATATCCAGCTATAAGAGGCCAAAATGCACAGTTAAATCTAATCAACTGAAAGGCCCAGTATTTGTTCTCCATAGATGCCACTTACCATCCTCTGACCACTTTAATAGATATGACACTGGACAGTTGCATGTGTGTGGCATCAGGTTGATCCCTGTAGAACTCAAAGGACTGACCGCTAAACTGATGGTGCTCAAATATCACAATCTGACGGCCACAAAACATTAAATTAGGGCCCAAGAAGTCACATATTTTTACTCACATATTTAAAGCATAAATAAAATGTTATGCAAATATAGCAGGTTTCCATATCTGAAATTCTCTGTTAGGTCACGAGTTTGAAATTCTGGCAAACCTTTCCAGGACGCCGGTGGATTCCGCGAGCAGCTGGAATCTGAAAGAAAAAACGCTGTGGTTAAGAGAGTAATGCGGGTAATTGTTTTGCAAATGTTTCATAATATTTAACCAAGCAGACAAACAAGTTTCAAAGATAACCCAAAGATTTTACCCTGTCAACATGTTAAAACTTCAAATCTCTCACATTTGCCACATACCAATATGGACAGGCATTAATAACAAGCAGGCATGCAGAGCAACTGCAGCTATGAATAAATTCATATTTATCATTTACAAAGAAAATACGCATTGGTTATTGACTCATACATTTGGTAGTTCTCTCTGAGGTTTAACTTGAGGGATTTGAGCCGCTGGAACTACAGGTGCTGGTGGAACCGTAACTTCTGGGATCTTCCCATCAGCTACGTCAACAGCCTTATTCAGATCCACTAGAGCAGGTATTGAGGCACTTTCTCTAGCCACCTAACCAGCACACACAAATATATACACACAGAACAACACTATTGTGAAACATCACCTAGCATGTTATATGAATGTATGCAAGTATGTTTTTGTTGCTGTGGTCAGTGTGATGAATGAGGGATGGCTGACCAGTGGGTTGATCTTATTTGATGGTTGAGCGTTTTCAGGTTCCTTTGGAAGAAATTTCTCCAGGAAACTAGGCAACTTGATGTCATCAAAGGAAGGACATGGTGGAGGAGCATTAGCATCTACTGTAGTTGTTTTCAGGGTCGGTCCATCAGGTTGCAGAACAACATCAGAACCAGTCTGGGTACCATTGAGAAGCAGTGATGCATTAGTGTCTGTAAACATAGTGACTGTGGGGTCTCTCTGAGCTGTTTTGAGATCAGGTGTCATAGCAGGTCCATCATCCTTGATATGTTTTAGAACATCCTGGGAACCGGACTGGGTATAACTAGATGTTAGATGTGTATTAGTGTCTGTTAATGTGGTGATTGAAGTGTCTAATGAAGTTATTTTCAAGTCAGGTGTCAGTGTAGGTCCATCATCTGTAGTAGGTTTCAGTACAACCTGGGAATTAGTCTGGGAACCATTGGGAGGAGTAGAAGCATTAAGGTCAGGTGTCATGGCAAGTTCATCATCCTGGGAACCAGACTGGGTGCAACTAGGTGGAGGAGCATTAGTATCTGTTAACATGGTGATTGGAGGGTCTGCTGAAGTTCTTTTCAAGTCAGGTGCCAGGGTAGGTCCAATATCTTTCGTAGGTTTCAGCACAACTTGAGAACTAGTCTGGGAACCATCGGGAGGAGAAGGAGCAATAGTGTCTGTAAACATAGTGACTGTGGGGTCTCTCGGAGCTGTTTTGAGGTCAGGTGCCACAGCAGGTCCATGATTCTGGGAAACAGATTTGGTACAACTAGGTGGAGGAGCATTAGTGTCTGTTAACATGGTGACTGGAGGGTCAAATGAAGTTGTTTTCAAGTCAGGTGTCAGGGTAGGTCCATCATATTTTGTTTGTTTCAACAGAACCTGGGAACTGGTCTGGGAACCATTGGGAGGAGTAGGAGCATTAGTGTCTGTAAACATGGAGACTGAAGGGTCTGCTGAAGTTGCTTTCAAGTCAGGCGCCAGGGTAGGTCCATCATCTTTCGTAGGTTTCGGTACAACCTGGGAACTAGTTTGGGTACCACCAGGAGGAAAAGGAGCATTAGAGTCTGTTAAAAGAGTTACTGTGGATTCTCTTGAAGTTGCTTTGAGGTCAGGTGTCATGGCAGGCCCAATGTCCGTGCTAGGTTTTAGAATAACCTGAGAACCAGACGGTGTATCGCGGCTGTTATTCTTAGCTAGGGTTTCCTCTACTGGGACCAATTTGGGTGGTTCTGTAGTTGGGGCTAGCTGTGATTGTGGAGGTGCTGTAGACCCAGAACCATCGCTGGGTGATAACAGCCCACCTGAAGGACACTCAGTGGGGCTTAAAAACTCCATTCGTCTCCCTTTGCTGGGGCTGCGTAGAATGCTGACAATAGAGCACCTCTCCAAACGAGACTTTGCCTTCAGTGGTTCTGTTGTATTTTCATCTGATCCCTCTTCTTTTTCTTCCTCTTCCTTTTCAGACTCCTTCCTTCCTCTCTGGAAGATCAGGGACCTCGTGAGGATGCTCTCTCGCTTAGGTTTGATCTCCACCTCCTTGACTTCTGCTGCTTTTGATTTTGAACTGGAAGGCAAATCCAAAATGAATTCCCTCCTACGCCTCAAGCCATGCTGGAACTCCTCCGGATCAAAGGGTTTCTCAAAGCGGTCTTCTTTGATGGCAGGCATGGCAAATGGAGGTGCTTGCAGGCGATGTTTGTTGTGTTTGCGTAGGGGAAGATTGAATGGCATCGCTAGCCTTTTCACATTTGCAATAAAGTCATCTGGGTCAAACTCTCCCGATGTGTTCAGGAGGTTGGTCTCACTCACAGAGGAGCTGAGCTTGGGTTCTGGAATCAACAGCTTCTTCCTTATAGGACGTCTGTGATCCACATCAAGCCAGCTAGATGGAGAGTTCCTGCTCTGGGAGGAGCTGCCTGGCACAGCGGGGATTTCTGGAAGGAGAAAGGGTTTGAAGATGAATTCCTTTTTTCTTGTGGATTGAGTCGTAGATTTACTGGAGATCTTCTCTTTCGCCGAGACTTCAGGACCCGAGGGCTTTTCTGGTGAAGGTGTGGCCTTCCTACTGTCATAGTCTGGTGGTGATATTGTATTTCCTTTGGATGAAGGAAGTGGAGTTATATTATCTCCATTGATAGAGTTTAGCGGGAAAGAGGATGACGCTGGTAGTGGTGTGGTCCTCTCATTTTTAGTAGTGATATCAATGGAGGCTGGTGGATTGGTTGAAGCTGGTTGAGGTGCAGCATTTTCTGGTGGTGTGGTCTTGTCATCACCTGAGCCTAATGAAGTGGAGGCAAACTCAATGGTTGATGATGCAGATGGTGTGGTCTTTTCATTACGTGAGCCTGATAATGTGGAAGTTGTCTCAATATTTGGTGCTGGTAGAGGTTTGGCTTTTTTATTGGCTAATGCTGTTGGAAGCGTGGTCTTTTCATTAGCTAAGCCAGGCAAAGTGGAGATTGTCTCGTTAGTTGAGGCTGGTGGAGGTGTGGTTCTCTCATTGGTTGAGTCTAATGAAGATGTAGTTTTTTCATCAGTTGAGGCTGGTGGAGGTTTGTTCTTGTCATCATTGGAGCCTAATGTAGCAGAGATTGTCTCAGTGGTTGATGCTGGTGGGGGTGCAGTCTTTTTCTTGGAGGTTGTCTCATTGGTTGAGGCTTGTGGAGATGTGGTCTCTTCATTAGTTGTCCTTTTATTAGCTGACTCTGATGTAGTTGTGTTCTTTTCATTAGTTGAGGCTGTTGGAGGCGTAGTCTTATCATTAGCTGGGTCAGGCAAAGCGGAGATTGTCTCGTTGATTGAGGCTGGTGGAGGTTTGTTTTTGTCATCACTGGAGCTTAATGTAGCAGAATTTGTCTCAGTGGTTGATGCTGGTGGAGGTGTAGTCTTTTCTTTAGGTGAGGCAGGCAAAGTGGAGGTTGTGTCATTGGTTGAGGCTTGTGGAGATATGACCTTTTCATTAGTTGTCCTTCTGTTAGTTGACTCTGATTGAGTTGTGTTCTTTTCATTAGCTGAGGCTGGTGGAGGTTTGTTCTTGTCATCACTGGAGGCTAATGAAGTGGAGATTGCTTCAATGGTTGATGTTGATGGAGGTTTGTTCTTGTCATCACCTATACCTAATGAAGTGGAGGGAGACCTAACGGTTAATGAGGCAGATGGTGTGGTTTGTTCATTAGCTGAGCCTGATAATGTGTAGGTTGTCTCAATGGTTGGTGCTGGTAGAGGCGTGGCTTTTTCAATGGCTGATGCAGTTGGAGATGTAGTCTTTTCAATGGCTGATGTTCTAGGAGGCGTGGTCTTTTCAATAGCTGATGCTGTTGGAGACGTGGTCTTTTCATTAGCTGATGCTGTTGGAGGTGTAGTCTTTTCATTGGCTGATGCTGTTGGAGGTGTAGTCTTTTCAATGGCTGATGCTATTGGAGGTGTAGTCTTTTCATTGGCTGGTGTTCTTGGAGGTGTAGTCTTTTCAATGGCTGATGCTATTGGAGGCATGGTCTTTTCAATAGCTGATGCTGTTAAAGGTGTAGTCTTTTCATTGGCTGATGCTGTTGGAGGTGTAGTCTTTTCAATGGCTGATGCTATTGGAGGCATGGTCTTTTCAATAGCTGATGCTGTTGGAGGTGTAGTCTTTTCATTGGCTGATGCTGTTGGAGGTGTAGTCTTTTCAATGGCTGATGCTATTGGAAGTGTAGTCTTTTCATTAGCTGATGCTGTTGGAGGTGTAGTCTTTTCATTAGCTGATGCTGTTGGAGGTGTAGTCTTTCCAATGACTGATGCTATTGGAGGTGTAGTCTTTTCATTGGCTGATGTTCTTGGAGGCGTGGTCTTTTCAATAGCTGATGCTGTTGGAAGCATGGTCTTTTCATTAGCTGATGCTGTTGGAGGTGTAGTCTTTTCAATGGCTGATGCTATTGGAAGTGTAGTCTTTTCATTGGCTGATGCTGTTGGAGGTGTAGTCTTCTCAATGGCTGATGCTATTGGAAGTGTAGTCTTTTCATTGGCTGATGCTGTTGGAGGTGTAGTCTTTTCAATGGCTGATGCTATTGGAAGTGTAGTCTTTTCATTGGCTGATGCTGTTGGAGGCGTGGTCTTTTCGTTAGCTGATGCTGTTGGAGGTGTGGTCTGTTCATTAGCTGATGCTCTTGGAGGCATGGTCTGTTCATTAGCAGATGCTCTTGGAGGCGTGGTCTTTTCAGTAGTTGGGGCAGGCAAAGCAGAGATTGTCTCATCAGTTGAGGCTGGTGGAGGTTTGTTTTTGTCATCATTGGAGCCTGATGTAGCAGATATCGTGTCAGTGGTTGATGCTGATAGACCTGTAGTCTTTTCTTTAGTTGAGGCAGGCAAAGTGGAGGTTTTCTCATTGGTTGGGGCTTGTGGGGATGTGGTTTTTTCGATAGTTGTTGGTTTTTCAGGAGTGTTTATTACATTGGTAGAGGCTGGTGGAGGAGTGGTCTTTTCATTATTTGTCTTTTTATTAGCTGAGTTTGACAAGGTTTTGTTCTTGTTATCACTGAAAGCTGTATCATCTTTTAAGGCTGGTTTAGCGGTGACCTGGCCAGATTGCTCGGTGGATGCTTCAATGACTTTGGATGACAAGGAAGTGGGCTTCTTTTTTGCTGAACTCAGAGGTAGATTGTCATTATAGGATGGTATTTCAGGTAAGGTATTTTCAAGGCTAGAGCCAAGTGTATTTTCTCCAGACTGTTTAAGAGAATCAGAAACCTGATCTTCCGCCTGTACAGAGTGTATATCTCCATTTATTATGGATGTCATTTCTGTGTTGGTGATTTTACTCTGGGTTTCTTTGGTGCCTCCCTTTTTAATATCCGTGCTGGGCTGTTGTAAATCCCTTTTATTAGACACTGCCAGTGTTTTCTCTTCTTCTCCGCTCTCTGATTGGTTTTGTAGGGGTGGCCCATCTCTTTTGGGACCGCCTCCCTCTGTAGGTGGAATTTGAGGTGAAATTATGGTGTCCATATGGTTATTTTGGTCTTTGACCAGTGCAGGGTTTGGTGTTGCCAGTGTCCTACTTGTAGTAGTGGCGTTTTCTTTAGTCTGATCAGACAATTCAGAGATTATCTCTGGAGTCTGAGTCTCTTTACCCTCACTGCTTGGCATAATTGTTGTGTCTTCTTGTCTCACAGCTGAGGTGTCCTTTGATTTACCGTGTTTAGTCGTCTTTGTTGTAATTCCTTCTTCTACATTCTGCTCGGTTGGCTTTGATGTACTGACTTCAGTACTATGTTTGTGTGTCTCAGTTGTTTCTGTAACAAGGTCGTTTTTCTCATTCTGATTGGTAGTCTCAGCCAAACTGTCTTTTTCTCGACTCTTTTGGTTTGTCTCTGATGGTCTTTGTGCCGATTTCGGGTCACTTTCAGTGGTGTTTTCCACTTTTTTCTCAGGTAAGACCAGCGTATCCGTCTCACTCCCTCTGTTTCGCATGGCATCTTTCCTGGAGGCTGCAGCGCTGTTATTGGCTGGCTCAAAGCAGTCTTTAGAGTTGGCCTTATTCAGGTCCTCTGGGGACGGTGGTTTCTCTTCTTTTGTCACAGATGGATCTGGTTTCCCTGACTCTTCAAACAATGTGTTTACAATCACGTCTCTGTTCCCCTGCCCCTGTCCTTCTGAGCGCTCATGAACAGGCTGCTTTTTGTTGATGTTTCTCGGTTTCTCTTCCGATTTTGAGTCAGTCTCTGTCTGTTCTGTCTTATCTTCATTTGAGCCATGCTGCTTCTCATCCTTGCTTTTCATTTCTTTAGGAAATTTTGTGTCCGCATGTGGAGAGTCAGATTTTTTCTTTGTGCTTTGCATAATTTCTGCTGCTTTCTCCAACCTTGGAGGGACTTTAGGTGTTTTGCTTACGGCCTCCCAAGCAGATTTGGGTCTTTCTTTATCAGAATACTGCTCTGTGGTCTTTACAATGTCTACAAGAGGTTTGTCCTTGACCTCCTGTTTACCCTGACCCATTTCTTGTTTGGTGGGGCTCAGCGGATCTTTGCCTCGACGCTTTTTAGATCGCGAGCTGGTCCGGTTTGGCGATTTCACCTGTGGTGTCTCATCAGTAGGTGATGAAACCATTGGCAAAGAATCCAGCTCTTTATTCCCAATGTTTGAGTCACTTGTGCTCTCCGACAATACAGGTGTGCTTTGTGTTGCATTGTGGGATTTGGAGTCTGTTTGATCGATGTTTAAATGAGGTTTGCATTTAACCTTTGGCTCTCCGCTGGTATCTGTCTTTGCTGTATATTTTTCAAAACGTCCGGAACAAGATATTTCAGCCATTTTTGAACGTCCTTCGTTCAGCGTACGACCAGATGGCAACGTCAGCGTCTCTTCTCCCCTCCGTCCTGCATTAAAATTCATCGCCCTCTCTTTAACTGATTGGTTTGGAGGTGCGGAACTGGACCGCGTTCCGGCACGTTCTGTGAAAAGACGACTGGCCACATTTCGAGCTGGAGAAATATCCAGGTGACGCAGGTTTGAGGAGCTGCTAACTGCATTGGTGGCTCCTCTCTCAAACAGACTGATTTTGTCTGCGATTCGGCCCTTGGATTTCACATTGGTGCCGTCCACTTTGTCCTCTGGAAATCTGTAAAATAACAAAGAATAAAGGTCAAAACTGGTTTGAATATCAAGTTCACACTATTCATATTAGCATCCACTTCCTTCATTAGCTGTTGACTCATTGTCTTTCTTTCCTCTTTCTCTGCTCTTCCTTGTTTGTTCTCTTCAGTTCTTTCTCTGCTTGAAGCAAGCCACTAATCCATTAAGAAACTGACTTCCCCTTCTTCGTTTGCATTTTCTGGAAAAACGCTTTTATTGAAAGTGACCAACACGTGATGCAAGATAAAATTTCAAAAGCTGCACAACAAAATTACAAGCTAATTCACCCTCGTGACTTACTCTTGGTGCTCTTTCCCCTTTGAAAGTGAATGAGAGATGACTGTTAAGCTCCAAAAAGCAAGAAAAGCATAAAAATGCATCATAAAAGTTATGACTCTTGCGCAATCTACTTAATATATTGTTGTGTGAAGGGAAAGCTATCGGCAAATAACTTAGATTATCATAAAAGCACTGCAAAAAACTATTTTCTTGCTTAGTATTTTTGTCTTGTTTTCTAGCATAAATATCAAAACGTTCTTGAATCAAGATGCATTTACTTGACTAGTAAAATGACTTAAGATATGAAATCTCGTTTTCTAAAAAAAAAGTATCACAATTTTGTTCGTTTTTGCTTAAAACAAGCAAAAATATCTGCCAATGGGGTGAGAAAAATAATCTTAATTCAAAGGCTAAACAAGATTATTTTTCTTGCCCCATTGGCAGATATTTTTGCTCGTTTTAAGCAAAAACTAACAATTTTTTTGATAATTTTTTGCAGTGTGGCATGCATTTTAGTCCTGTTTCTCACCCAGAACTAACATTATGACTGGAATATAGTGCAAGAGTCATAGTTATGCGTTTTTGTTCTTTTTGGAATTTGACATTGCAGGGTTTCTGCAAGTTTTATGAAGACAAATTTAAGACTTAAGGTTATAATTAAGGAATAAATGAAAGGAAACACAATGTATGATATCATACTTACATATGTAGTTTTTTGAGAAATGTATCAAAATAGGGTGAATTTATGATAAAGGACAAATATCTGACCACAAGCGCAGAAAAATCAACATAATTCAAAGGGAAAACGAGTTTTAATTCCCCATTGACAGATATTTGTTCTTGTTTTAGGCATAAACTTGCTTAATTTTGTTCAATTTAATTTCTTCACTTTGAATTTCAAGTAAATCTATCTGGATTTAAGGTTGTTTAGAAATATTTGTACTGGAAAACAAGACAAATATACTGACATTTGCAATGCATGCAACATTTAATGCAATGTTAAGACTTTTTCAAACCTGCAGAAACCGTGCATTAAAAATCACTTTTGCTGAATGGAAAAGAACATCTTGAATATACTTCAAAATATCTCCTTCCAGTTTTTAGGTGAACTGTTCCTTTAAGAGCTGCTGGTGCATACAGTAGAAAAATGCATGCCTGACATCTAGAAAAACTGGCATTTAACTATGTAAACACTTAATTGTTATGAAAATGCCTCTTTTCAATGCAGGGAGCTGTTGGAACCAGATCAGGAACATTAACCAACAGGTTTTAATCTATGACTTTACAGCTCAGAGGAATGACAACTACCTGATAATGACCTAGTAAGAGAGCATATTTCACAACATGACACATGATGTTTTGTCCTGATAATCTTTAAGAAAGATTTCCCATGTTTAGATGAAGCACATTCAACTTCGATTACAGAAACGTTTGCTTTGAAACACTGAAAAAATGATTTTCTCATTTAGTATTTTTGTCTTGTTTTCTAGTATAAATATCTAAAAATTCTTGAATCAAGATGCATTTACTGGACAAGTAAAATGAATATGTCTTGCTTTAAGAAAAAAACTATATTTTGTTAGTTTTTGCTTAAAACAAGCAAAAATATCTGCCAATGTGGTAAGAAAAATAACCTTGTTTAGCCTTTGATTTAAGATTATTTTTCTTGCCCCATTGGCAGATATTTTTGCTTGTTTTAAAACAAAATATTGATCTTTTTTTTTCTCAGAAAACAAGACTTATTCTCTTAAGTCATTCTACTTGTCAAGTAAATCTTGATTCAAGAACGTTTAGATATTTATACTAGAAAACGAGAGAAAAATACTAAGAAAATATTTTTTTTGCAGTGTATTTCTCAATGATGTTTTGTCCTGCTAGATCTCCCACGACTTAAATTCAAGCCCAAACAGCAACTTTAGCTTTAAAAAGCCCACAAATCCGAGAATTGTGTTTGTTATTCCTGTAAGCACAGCTACGAACAGGTTAAACAGGTATAATTCACCTGGCTCTTTCATCAGATCTCGGCCGTTTGGTGTCTTTAAGAGTCACATTTTGATCTTCCTTTTGCTCCTCCGAGGCGACCACCACCTTTTTGGCGAAGACCACCTCGCTGTGAGACACTTTGATGCTCCTGCGTTTGGATTCTGCGCTCTCCGTCAGCCTCACCACTCGTTCCTCGTCCATATCTGTATAAACCAGCGCCGCTTGGACGAGCGAATCCGAATCTGCGTCTTCGCTCAGGTGCGCTTGGGCCCATTCTGCTTGGAAGACATCCTCATGGCTACCTGAGTCTGGCGCTTCTGCTCCAGAGGCTCCTGGAAGGCTGTTTGCCGCCTCCTTAAAAGCTGAGTCAGCGCATGCTTTCCGCGGGCTGCTCGTCAAACTGGTTGCTACAGGGCTTTCAGGTTGGGGATTGGTTGGGGATTTAGCTCCGCCCCCATCCCCGTGAGAGCTCCGCCTCCTCCTGCCAGATCTCCTCCGGCCCATTTGTTCAAAGAGTTCAGGTGGCCTTCTCCTCTCAAGCGACCGACTGCGTTCGAGTCTCAGATGTTTGGCATTCCGGTCGAGGGTTGGGCTCGCCTCTGCGGGATCTGTCTCGTCTGCTCTGGTTTCTCCGTGGTCCTCCTCTTGCTGTGTTTGGGACGTGGGATCATCTCTGCCCCAACCCCACGACAGCCAGCTCCCGATGCGACTCAACACCCCTGGGCTGCGCTCCTGTGGACTCTCAGCCTGCAAACAAACATATGCCAAACACCGAGAGTCTGATCTGTAACACTCAATAGGGGGCAGAAATGAAGGGGTGAATATTTGACATCCAGGGGCTTTTTATTTTTTTAACCTTTGTGTGGGCCGTTTTTATGCATATACTCCAAAAATATTTTTGTCTTGTTTTCTAGTATAAATATCTAAAAATTCTTGAATCAAGATGCATTTACTGGACAAGTAAAATGAATATGTCTTGCTTTAAGAAAAAAACTATATTTTGTTAGTTTTTGCTTAAAACAAGCAAAAATATCTGCCAATGTGGTAAGAAAAATAACCTTGTTTAGCCTTTGATTTAAGATTATTTTTCTTGCCCCATTGGCAGATATTTTTGCTTGTTTTAAAACAAAATATTGATCTTTTTTTTTCC